AGCTGGTGTTCTCAAGACCACACTTCGGTTAATGCTGATCAAACTACCAGGTGAATGTTCAATGTTTAATAATGAACCAAAGGGATGAGAAAATAATTAATAGTAATTCTTGAAATGTCCAGTTTTAAACCTTGGACAAACTTTCTATATTAAGAGATACCTACTTAATTGCGAGGAATCATACTCTGGAGCAGAAGCTCAGGAACAGAATGAGGTTTGCCACACCCTTGGTTTAGCCATGCCCGTGGCTTACATGAGTGCTGAACAGCAAGGGTCTTTCCATCTATGGGAGAGTCTGTCCAGGATCCCTGGGGCACTAGCAGTCCTTCAGGTTCACCAGCCCACGGCAGTTTATAGTTTTTCAGAAAGTGTCTTTCTGAAGAGACATGCCAGGACCCAAGAAACCTCCAGAATCTCCTAGTTATCTTATTGGTGCTCCCATCCCCACTAACAGAGTCCCTTAAGAAGGGTAGGATGGTGCATCAGAGAAGATAAGTGCATGACTGCAATACACATCTCAGTGTAAAAACATGTGCTTTGAGGCTCTGAGTCTCCAATTTTGCCCATTTCTAACCTGGACCCTGAGTATCTGTTACTTCTTCTATGAAAGGGAGACGATAATAATATCTTCTCTGCAGAAAAGAGTTAATATAGCAGGCTAAAGACTGCATATCTTAGAAAAACCTATTTGCAATATTGGCCTTTGGTTGGCATCTGGTAACTTGGTTTTAGGAAGGTTCCCACCGTTCTCTGGTTAAAATGGCTCACCGTGCCTAAACTGTTCATGCAAACAATGTGGTTCATGCTGAACCCCTGCTTTCCTTCAAGAGTATGAAATTTTACTCAGTACTAGGCAGAGGGTGCCTATGTGATCAGTATTGAATAAAATCCTCAGTCATGGAGTCCTTAAAGGGTTTCCCTGGTAGACAGCATTTTACATGTGTTGTCATAGTTAATTGCTGGAGGAATTGATCACATCCTGTGTGAGTCTGCTGGGAGTGGATCCCTGAAAGCTTGCACCTTGTATCTTCTGGACTTGGTCCCATGTGGCCTTTTCTCATTTCTGATTTTGTTTTATATCCATTCACCACAATAAGTCACAGCAATAAGCATTACTATTTGCTGAATTTTGTGAGTCCTTCTAGCGAATCATCAAACCTGGGGGTGGTTTGAGGAACCCCCAACATAGAGCTATTGTGAATGTAGGATGAGATACATTGAACATTTAGCACCCTACCAGGCAGACACTAAGCATGAACACATCAGAAGAAATTGTCTACCAAGGAGATCTTCACTTCCCTACTAGATGTCCCTCTGCTTCATGGTGCTGAAGGGCACCAGGACCCTGCCTCTGTCTTTTGCCGGAGTGTGGGCTTCCTCATCACTGACAGAGTAATGGCCTCTTCTGATGGAATAGCAACCATATATCTTGGAGATTCCGTCTTGGCGCTTAGTCAATCCAGGAATGTTGCTTCAGGATTTAAAGCTTTTTTTTTTTTTCCTTTTAAGTTACTTTCTCTAGAACTCTTTAACTCAAATGTATTAGACATGTAGAACTTTGTATACGACCATATAAATTACACTTGAATAATATCACAGGATGCAGTGTAGGTAGATTAATTCAGCTGTTGGTTTTCTCTCCATGGTGCTCATATTTAAAAACAGGAACCCTATTAGTTCCTTGATATTTTCTCTTTCATATTCTCACTGAATGGCATAGCAACCACTGGGGAATTCACAATGAGGAAGGGAGTAGTAAAACATTTCTATTCTGCTTCTGAAAATACTTGGCCTAGCATTTTCAGTGCTTATTTAGGTATGAATACAGGCTGAAGAACTCTTCTCAAATGGTTTTTCTGAAATAATTTATAACTTATTTTTCAAAATAACATGGTTATAGTTAAAGTTTATTAAAATGTCAACAGACTCAGCCAACAATGGGCCAAGTTATATTTTCAAATGTATTTTATGCTCACTAAATAATTCTGAGAGATGGTGTATAGAGCCGCTTATTTGGTGTAATTCTTGCCACTGAAAACATTCAAGGCCTTTAACCAGATAGTAGTAACACAATTAAGACTCCCTTGTGTTATCACTAAATTGTGTAATGGCTAACACAATTAAGTTTTACCAATGAGTAACACAATTGTGTCACAGTTAATATAGTCCAGTAACAATATAGTCCCATTAAAATAGTTAATAGTCCAGTTAACATAGTCAAGTAACTGGACATTGTTACTTAAAACTTTGAAGAAGCTAAAATAGAGGAAACTGATGAGTATATGAAGATGCAAGCTTTGAGATGACAATCAGGTCTTTGCTGTTAGTTAGATGTTTCTGTGCAAGAATGACTCCAAAACATAAAGGCTTAAAGAAACAACCCTTTATTTGTGTCTTGTTTCTGTAGACCAGCACCTTTGAGTCCATTTTGGCTAGGAAGTTCTGCTGGTTTTGACTGGGCCCACTCATGTGAATAGCTCCTAGTCAGGCAGGCTGCTCCGTTTCTGGGGATAGGTTGGTTGTTGACTGGAGAGACAGGTGATTGGGCTACTTGGCTTCTCATCCCCAGGCAGAATGGCCTGGCCTTGCTTTTATGCTGACTGCAGTTTCCAAGAACAGTGAGAGGGCAAGCAAGTTCCAATGTACAAGCACATTGCATGTTTGTGTCAGATTTTCTCTTGTCCCATTGGTCACAGCAAATTATATCTCCAAGTTCAGAGTCAATGTGGGAGAAGACAAAGGCGTGGGCACCAGGAAGCATGAAACACTGGGTCATTCCAGCAGCCCTCTATGACAGCTGGGTTACTTTACTGCTTTATACTTTGGCCTACGTGTGTCCAAGTACTTAAGATCAGCTGACCTGTGCTTATTAACCCACATGTAATAAAGTACTTAAGCCGGGCTCGGTGGCTCAGCCTATAATCCCCCGCCTTTGGGAGGCTTAGGTGAGTGGATTGCCTGAGCCCGCGGGTTCGAGACCCGCCTGGGCAGCGAGACCTCATCTCTACAATAAATTAAAAAATCAGCCGGGCATGGTAGCGCATGTCTGTAATTCCGGTTACTTGGAAGGCTGAGGCGGAAGGATCGCCGGAGCCCAGCAGGTCAAGGCTGCGGTGGCCGGAAGCGGCCACTGCACTCCAGTCTGGGCAACAGAGTGAGACTCCAACTCAAAAAAAAAAAAAATAAAGTACTTAAATAATTTGTTTAAAAATTATAATATGTTTTTCAGGAGAGATAATACATCAAGGTATTTGTAGCCTTTATCATTTTTCATTTGATATTTATTACAGCCTTTAATTACTTTTCTGAATTAATCTGAAGTAACAACCAAAATAAATGGGACAGGTTTTGGTGAAGTCTGGAGAGTTAAGGTTGTAAATGATCTGATCATTGTTGAGAGAATTTTATTTAGGTAGAGGATGGTACAAAAGCTTGGGAAAGCTGGAAGGCTGCAGGAAGACCCTGCTTGCCACACACAGATAAATAGTTAAAAGAAGAAACAGAAGTTTTAATGGAGGATGAAGGAAGACAGATAAGGAAGAAGAAAAAGAGTGATGGGAGATGTTAATGTCTATGAAGCTCTGACCCCATGATGATTTTAGTCCATCAGCAAATATTTCTTGAGCTCAACTGTATGTCAAGAATTAACAAGCAATAATGAATAAGCAGGCAGTGGTATTTTTCTCATGGATCTTACATTTCAGTAGGAAAAACAGACACCAAGCACAACATTACGTGTAATTAATCGTAAATGGGTAAATGCCATGAAGCATATATACATAGAACTGTAGAAATGTATAACCCTTTTGTTCCAGTCCAAGGACTGAGATAAGTCTTCCCCCCAAAAGCAACAATTAAGCAAAAACATCATCTTTTATAACGCTATAGACTGTGTTATAAGGATTCCCAAAATGATCCTGGTTGTCCTATTCACAGATGAGTAGATTAAGAGAGAAAAAAGCAACCACCTAGGGTCAGAGAATAGATAACCTACCTGGGATTCAAACCCACATAACCTTACATGCTTTCAATACCATAGAGCATACTTTGCCTATTTTATACATTTTCTAAAGGCCTTCAAGTCATTGGATATGTTTTAACTAGGTAAACTATATTGTTTCAAACAAGTAAAATACACTGTACACAATTCTAAATATACAGTGAAAAGTGAGTCCTCCTCCCTGCTCTGTTCCCCAGATCTCTTCTTTTCAATTTGGTCAGGTTTCCTGTATATTTGTGCAGAGACATAATTAATAGTTGAAACACTTACTTTGTGCCAGATGACTTCCTAAATGCTTTATACACGTTTACTTGTTTAATTCTAATTATAAATGTATGTGGTTAATAATATTATTCACCTGTTTTTCATATATAATATTTAATTCCACATAAATGGTTTGGATTTTAAGTGCATAGAAAACTCCCTGTGTACTGGTCAGCTTTTGCTTTGATGATACTACATAACAAACAAGTCTAAAATCTCAGTAGTTTAATTACATATAGTTATTTCTCACTTGTGAATCCGCTGTGGCTCAGTTATGGCTAAGATGGGCTTCTGTGATCTTGACTCCAGACTGGAGGTTGTATCTGTGTCTGCTTCCAAGACCTCGGCTGAGGAAGCATCACCTACCTGAGAGAACTTTGTGGCAAGTGTCAAGAGCACAAGGGGGAAAGTGGAAACACACAATGACTCCAAAACCCTCCACCCTAAACTGACTGACTGTTTCTTCCATCCACAGCCCATTGGTCAAAACAGGTCACACGGCCAAGCCCAAAGACTGCCGCAGGGAACTAAACTCCACTTGACAAGTGTAAAAAGAGAACAAAAAGTGTTGAACGGCATTATTTCAACTACACGCCCTGAAAATCCAACTTACATCTTTGCAACTGGAATCTAGAGGAATAACTGAAAAGATGTCTCTGTAAATGAATTAACAATAATTTTCTTAGGGCTTCTGCCGACAAGATATATACAGCGGCCTCTTTTTTCCATTTCCCAGGTGTTTGCATCATGTTTGGGAAGAAAAAGAAAAAGATTGAAATATCTGGCCCATCCAACTTTGAACACAGGGTTCATACTGGGTTTGATCCACAAGAGCAGAAGTTCACTGGCCTTCCTCAGCAGTGGCACAGCCTGTTAGCAGACACCGCCAACAGACCGAAGCCCATGGTTGACCCTTCATGTATCACTCCCATACAGCTGGCTCCCATGAAGGTATGGAGATGATTCTGTCTTTAGGTTGACTTAAGAAGCATATTCTGATTTGATGCAGTGTGCCCTCTTTATGGGCAAGCTATGAAATGTCTAACTATGTGGTTTTTTTTCCTAAACATTCACAGATTACTCATAATTATTTCTCCAGTAATTATAATGTTCACCACTTACTGTAAATGGCAACACATGAAAAGAAACTTTGGCTTTTGAATGTGATGATTTAAAAAAAAAAGCTAGACATATAAAATATAATCACAAAATGGGACATTGAACATAATTTTCTCCCTAAGAGAGGTTGATACTTAACTAATGACCAAATAATAGGGTGGGCCATATCTTTAAAAACACTGGGATTTAAAAGAAGCTTATTTAGTTTTATGACTTTTCTTATATCCCAAGATTTTATAAAAGTCAAAACATTGAATCAGTAGTGTGCCAACAAAAGTCCTCTACTGTTGATCATCACGGTGAGGGAAAAATTCAGAAGTGAAGTCAAGCCTTATTTTCTTACCCTGGAGTATCATTATCATTATCATTGGATAAGAAACATTCTAGAAGGAGGCAGAATCTTAAACATCCTTGCTAAAGACCCAGGACACGTGCTATATTATTAGAGTGTGTTTATATTCAGTAAGGATAGAATGCTATTTATTTCACTATGGTTTTTAAATTGTCCAAGTTCTACCAGGTTCTGTTTGGCAATGAAGAAAGAGGTTCCCAAGCATGGCAATTCACCATGCTCAGTGGACTCAGGGCTTAGGAGGACTTTCTACTACATCTCTTTCATCTTCTGAATGGGCTGGCTAATTCCCTTTGACAAAACTTATCAGTCCCACTGATGAGCTCCTGTAATTCTCATTCTTATTTTATCAACTTTCCAAACTAGATGCCAAATATATGCTCTTTCAGTATGTATAAAATGAAAATCTGTATTAAAAACACTTAAATGCTACCTGGATGATTACTGAAAAATACATCTCAAGTATAGAACTAGTCCTGGATTTCTACAAATGGGACTTCAGTCACAATTTTGTCACTGTGAAAATAAAATTTAAAAAAATAAAGATCCAACTAGGTTGAATCTTCCTCCACAAAGATAAGGTTAATCAAGTATATTTAACTGAAGGACACCCCAAAAATCTAGCACCTTATACTCTCACTCAACTCCTTTAGAACAATCCTTTCTCCAAGTACTATGAGTACAGTTAGCACCGTTGGCAGATGATGGACAATATTGATGGCCAATGAGAATCCTGTTGACCCTACCAGCTTCTTAAAATAGGCAAAGTTAAAAGGTTTGAGTAGCCAAAGTATGCCCTACAGTTTGGATGATCCCACTTTCTGGAAATGCCTTCCCTGGGAAAATCTTATAAATCCCTTAAGAATGACATGTTATCAATCATACAGACTATGTCTCAGAAATCAGAATAATCCTTAAAATAATAAGTGACAAATGAATTGACAGAAAACTGAACAAATATAGAGTTGTGCATGTTTAAAGCCATTTTGACAGTTATTTAAGTTAAATAGGAACAACGATTCTAGTTTTGTCAAGTTGACCTTTAAAGTGAGTAAGGGAGCCTGAGCCCGCGGGTTCAAGACCCGCCCGGGCAACTTGGCGAGACCTCATGTCTACAATAAATCAAAAATTAGCCGGGCGTGGTAGCGCATGCCTGTAGTTCCAGCTACTTGGAAGGCTGAGCAGAAGGATCGCTGGAGTCCAGCAGGTCGAAGCTGCAGTGGCCGGGAGCAGCCACTGCACTCCAGTCTGGGCGACAGAGTGAGACTCCAACTCAAAAAATAAAATAAAATAAAATAAAAAAGTGAGTAAGGGAAAATGAGAAAAGACATCATAGCGTAAAATCAGCCAATGGAAGAAGTATATTGCCCCTTATGTTGTGGTACAGTATGCATTTGTTAGTGAGCTTTGGGCAGGCTGGTTCTGAGTGGAAATCTACCAATGCAACTAGCACTTCTTTCTGACTGGCTAGGATTTCAGCTGCTCCTATTTATAACCTCACACTTACCTGCAGTACCTCAAGCTTACCAGGACACTCCTCTCCTATATAGACTTATTTAGGTCAGTGTTTCTCAAACCATACAGTGGATCATAATCACATTGAGGGCTTGATAAAACACACAGATTGTTGGGCTCCATCCCAGAGTGTCTGGTTCAGTAGAACTGGGATGGGGCCCAAGAATTTTCATGTTTAAGTTTCCAGGTGGAGATGCTGCTTATCTGGGAACCGCATTTTGAGAATCTTGATATAAGTATTTATAAAGGAATTTATCCACATAAGATATAATTAATGTGAGTTTGCACTGGCCAAGATTTCCAAAATGCCAGAAATTTAGCCAGAAGCCACACGTTAGCTTGCCACTTGTATTACAAGTTAAAGTTTGTGTGTCCAAGCCAAAGGTATGTAAGTTAAGCACGATAACCTGAACTGCCAAAGTGGGAGGATCTCTTTCAAACATTTGGTGCATGTCTTTGAGAAACTTCTTTTTATATCTAGCATCATTTTATACACAAGATTACCATAAGGAATATTGTCAAAATTCCTGTTGAATTAGATACATTGTATAAAGGGCAGGTTGAATGGTCACATTTTTGTGTTCTTGCCCAGTGGTTCTCAAACTTGAAGTTTCATCAGCATCTCCTGAAGAGCTTGTTATAGCCCAGATTCCCGGGTCCCACCCTAGAGATTCTGAATCAGTAAGTCTGAGGTGAGCCTGATGATTTGTTCTTCTAACAAGCTCTCAGATGATTCTGCTGTTCATGGATGGTGAATATAATTTAAGAACCACTGTTCTAGGTAGACTAAAGCTAGAACATAATAATCACACTCACCATTTAAAACACCCTAAAAGTCATTTGAAAAATGCTAACTCTCTCTCTCTCTCTCACACACACACACACACACACACACACACACACACACACACACACACACACACACGATAACATTTAAAAGCTTTTAAGGCTTCTACCTAAAATGAACAAACAATATCTTCATAGTTGCTTCAATTTGTTTTTAATCTACAAGTAGACTTATAGAAATAATGTTAAATAATATTATTTGGCATATTTAAATTTTATTAATTAAATGAGGTCATACTGTATATAATCTCTAACTAGCTTTTTTACTTAATTTTTTTTTTTTTTTGAGTCAGAGTGTCACTCTGTTCCTCAGGCTGGAGTGTACCTGCACGATCATGGCTATCACAGCCTCAACCTTCTGTGCTCAGGTAGTCGTTCCACTTCAGCCTCCCGAGTCGCTGGGACAACGGGTGCATGCCACCATGCTCAGCTAATTTTTTAAAAATTATTTTATTGTAGATTAAGGTCTCACCATGTTGCTCAGGCTGGTCTCAAAGTGCTGGGCTCAGGCAATCCTTTCACCTCAGCCTCCCAAAGTGCTGGGATTACAGGTGTAAGCCACCACTCCTAGCCTTAGTACTTAAATTGTTTTTAGATAATTTTATTCTGATACATACAAAATAAATTTATTTTAAAGTTACTCTATAGATTTTTTTCTTAACAATGTACTCATTTCTCTACTAAGAGATATTGTCAGGTAATTGCTATTTCGATAATATTACCATGATCATCTATGTTCATGTCTCCTTGGATCCATGGTGAAAAGTTTTCTTGAGACTATTCTCGAAGTGTCATCAGGAACCCATGGGAGTTCCCTCAACTTTTAAGGGACTCTACAAAATCAAAATTTGCCTTTTTCACCCCTATTCTTTCCTGAGTGTACAATGGAATTTTCCAGAAGCTACATGATATATGATAATGTTATTGATTGATGAATCCCTTATATTATGTTTTAAAAGTTTCTCAGTAAATATTGATAGGTCTAAAATAAATCAAAATTGTTTAGTTCCTCAATAATTTTAAGAGATTCCTAAGACAAAAAGCTTGAGAACCACTGTTTTTGTGCTTATGTCAAATTTGATCATCTGCGGCTTTCTGCAACTTACCTTTCACACACTAATCTCTTTTTTGTTTTGTTTTATTTTTTAGTGAAAATAGAGACTTTTGTCTTTTCCAGTTGGCTAGTAACCTCCTCGTCTCTACAACTTATCGATTATCGAATGTAATACCCCACCCCTTCTTGGGTATAGAATATTATTTCTATAAACAAACAGTTTTGAAGTCTTTTAAATGTGTACATCCTTATTCGTGATCCCTTTTCTAATTTAGCCTTCAAAGACCTTCTAAAAGCCTTCTTTTTGAATACTTTCAAGAATAAAGAGTCACATATAATATCAATGCAAAATTGACTCTGACTAGGTTTTCTTTGTCTTTGTCATTTTATAATTATCTTTTCTTTTTTTTTTTTTTTTTTGAGTCAGGATCTTACTCTGTCACCCAGGCTGAAGTGCGGTGGCATGATCACGGCTCACTGCAGCCTCAACCTTCTGGGCTCAAGTGATCCTTCTGCCTCAGCCTCTCAAGTAGCTGGGACTATACAGGCATGCACCACCACACTGACTAATTTTTTTTTTTTTTTTAAATAGACATGAGGTCTCGCTATATTGCCTTGACTGGTCTCAAACTGAACTCCTGGACTCAAGCAATCCTCTCACCTCAGACTGCCAAAGTGCTGGAATTACAGGCCACTGTGCCCAGCTGATATTTTATAATTTTCAAAAGCTAAGGTTCCTTCCCTTCCTTTTTTTATCTTCTGCCCCTGACTGTTGCATTAAAAATCACTCTATTCACAAAGACAAGGTAAAAATCAAGAGAAGTAAATGTTCAGGTCTGGCTGCCCCATTCTTGAAGACTGTTTTTATTCCCCGTCACAGTTTATGTTGAAAGCTCATGAAGCATGAGTTCACCTTAATTGCTCTATAATTCTTAACCTTTCTCCATTCTCATGATTCACAATTTTGTATTAAGTTTTTAGAGCTATGTCATTTTTCTTGGTTTTATTTCCATGAGATTTTCTCTTTCCTAGAATATTTTTTGGAATCTGCTTTAAATAAAAGGC